CCCAAAACCCCAAAACCCCAAAACCCCAAAACCCCAAAACCCCAAAACCCCTAATAAGCCCTTACCTGGACTCAAAACTAAAAATAAAAAATAACTTAAATGGGGTGCTGTTGTGGTGCAGATAAGAAGAACACTAAGAAGCCGATGCCAAGGAGGGAGCCAGCTCCTCCCCCAGTCAATATTAGACATGAAGAATCCATTAAAAAGGATGTAAGGAAGGACGATAAAGGTAAGTTTTAGTCCAGAGCAGGGTTAATATCCTCTAGGTGCTGATTCGCCTAAGAAAGAAGACCCACAGAAGTTCAAGAAAGAAAAGAAGCCTAAAAAGAAGAATACTGATGTTGATAAGCTTATGAAGGCAGCAAAGGAACATGAAACTCATGGGCTTACTAAGGATAAGAAATCGGCAGCGCTCTTCCTTGATTGTGATGAAAACTACAGAGGTGTCTCTGATTTTCTCAAAACATCATCTAACTTCAAAATTGATGCTCTCGATAGTAAGTTCGAAAAGGTTTTCTTTCTGATTTTAACCAAATATTAGGGGTTTCCATAAATTGAGTGAACAAATTGGATAACAGAGATAAGAAATGAGCTTCTTCATTATTTAATGGGAAGAACTTGAAGAGCATAAATACCATCTACCTCAATGGGCACACTGAATCTGGGTTAAAAGATATCAACGAATACGCCTCAACCTTATTTAAGACAGCCACAAAGCAGATTTATCTCGATAGCTTTAACTTTGATCAAGATGATTTGATTCAAATTTTCTCCACTTGTGTTAAAACACAAGAACTTTGCCTCATAAATTGTTCAATAGAAAAACTTGACGAAGACTTCAAATTAAACCCTAAACAAGTATTCGCCATGAAGTCCCTTGATATGTATTGGACCCTATCTAAAGATAGAGACGACCTAATAGACGAGGAGAAGGCTAAAATATTTTTTAAAGCAATTGCAAAATCCAAACTCAAAGCTTCCCTCAAACAAATCCATGCTTGCACCAATGATTTCAAGGCGAAGGAACTAGAAGCAGTGATAAAAGCAGCAGGTTTGAAGGCTAGAGTTGTTTGAGATACCAAACAGCCTAAACCAAAGCATTAAGGGAGAGAAAGAGAAAGATTAAGATAAACAAGATCCTCTGAATTTATTTCCCATATTTATGCAAATAAAATTCATCGATATTTAGTTTCATTCACCATCTTGTTATCGGGGTTTTGGGGTTTTGGGGTTTTGGGGTTTTGGGG